CACTTACAGGTATAATAAAGAGTTGGGCAGATAGACACATACAAATATTACTACAAATGTGAAAATAAGCGTGTACTATAAGAAATGTACCGATATTCTAACTAAACGTAAACTCAAATATCCGTAATTCCGATTTATAACAAAACCGTTACGCTTTCGAGTAATTTTCATGCTTTTTACATGGACAAAATTAGCTTTTGTTTTGTAATCTTCGTAAAAACACGTTATGAAAATTCGAGCTAATGTTATTTCGGGCAAATGTATTTTCTGTCTTCTGATAGGTAATCCCATGCCGTAAAACGAGTACAACAATATTTTGTTAGTTATTACTAACGTTTAATAAAAAAATCATTTTAAAAATAGGATAAAATCAAAGCAACTCTACAGTTTCTTTGTTCTAAATATTTCAATCGCTTATGGTTCGAACAATTGAAAATGACCAAGAAGTTTATATAAGCTTCTTGATACTGACGCAATGGGTCACTTTCCATCTTTTGCGCATGCAATGAGTAGAAAAAGGACAGTTAGCTATTTCATTATTTCGTGTGGTTTTGTAATTTATATTTATGATTCAGTTATATACAAATTAAATACTATGAAACTGTACAAAATAACACTTTGAAATGACAACTAGGATAACACAATATATTTGTTTAGTGAAAATATATTACAAAATACTGTTTTCACACTTTACTGCAGTAATTTTTACAAGTTATTATTATTGGTACTGCATGATTGACAACCGCGCTGGCACTCGAACAAACGAAGACTATTGCGCGATTGACGCTCTGTATGCGATTTTAACGACCTACAGGTGCGGACACGTTTTAACGCGAACCCGACGTCCATTTATTGGTAGGTCAATGATTGAACTACATTGTGTATTAAGAGCGGAAAATAAGAAATTACTAACGAGGGAAGGCCGAGGGATTCAATGACTCAAGGTTTGGAAATTTTTGCCGCCCGTGGCGCATACGTTTTTCATCACATCTGCGAGGAAATAAATAGAATAACAATATATTTCTTGTATGAATAAATACCGCTTGACAATACAACAATTACAGATTTTGCAAATGGCGGGTATTTTGTTTTTTTTATGTAAATCCTTCCGTAGATAATACAATCCAATACAATCAATTTAGTAAAATATATTTAAATTGCAAATGTTTAGTTTTTGTCTATACTTCGTGTTAGTAGTGTAGTAGAAATACATTAAAATTTATCGAGCATAAAAGCTTTTACAGTGCAATTAAATTAAAAATAAATCCATTACTGCCCATAGGCGGTAATGTAAACATTACGATCGACTTTGCCTGCATGTTATGACACTGTTCACGAGCAAGTGTGATGAAAAATTATTTACATTGTACATTCTAAATTGAATCAATATAAGCACCACATCACAAAGAGACGCAGTGATATTTTTGTGTGCGGTATTATTTAATTACTGTCAATGAACGGGTTAAGGAACTACTTCCACGCAAAATTTATTATAAGTGCAAGATAAAAATTATAATAATTTAGTATTTAAACGCATCCATCTCTATAAATATTTGAAATTGTAGTTACATTTAACTGCCTCCGTGGCCGAACGGTTACCATACCGGACTGCCACGCAGAGGTCCCAGGTTCGATTCCCGGTCCGGGAGAAATATTTGTATGGCCTATAATTATTTCTCTCGTGAGTTTGGGTGTAATTTGTGGTTGTCTATGTGTGTGTCCATGGCACCCGCGACACAGGGTTTCCCTAGTTCGGGGCTATGTTGAGTGTGTGCGTTATTATTATTACTATGTTTATTTTAATCTCTCGCCTCTCCCATGGCCTAAAAGACTAATTTTGAATTTTTTAATGGGAGAGGCGGTATTTCCCGGCTATGGCACAGTCGGCCGGGGTCAGGGACTCAGGTCCAAGAATCGGCGAACAATACGTGCCGTATCGAGCAGGACCGCCTTCTGCATTTGTGCTGGCAGCGACACGCCACAGAAATCCAACCGCCTCAAGCTGTTAGAAAGGCTGATTGGAATTAACCCATTTGCGGACAAAACAATTGGGATTTTTTCAGTGGAGGCCACATCCCACATGTCGGTGATCTCGTGCGCCAGGTCGAGATACTTCCGACGTTTCTCGGTGTCAGCTTTCACGAGACCCTCGTCATGCGGGATGGTCACGTCCACAAGAAATACCCTCGACTGCGATCGATCCAATATCACAATATCAGGCTTATTCGCAAGAATAGTCCTGTCCGTGATAATAGATCGATCCCAATAGATTTTGGTGCGGTCATCTTCGAGTATTGGCTCCGGTGAATACTTGTAATATGGCAACCTCTGTTGCACTAGTCCGTACTTGAGAGCGAGCTCTTGGTGTAATATTTTGGCTGCCTGGTTGTGTCTGTGCAAGTACATTATTATTATTATTATTATTACATTCGCACTTTCAAGTTTGTTTCTTTTTTAATAAATTGTATAAGGTAACTATTAATATAAAGATTGAACACAAAGAAAAAACCTTTCAATCAGGATTCGCATTAGCGCCTTATTAAAACGTATATGAATGACTTACGTATACAGAGTGTTTTTTAAAGGGACAGTATGGGGAAATCCGAAACCATAGAAGATACAAGGAAACTGTCTTAGGAACTGTTAAGTCTTTTTTTGTGAAAACAATTTTGGTATAGTCAATTTTTTGGTCAAGCCTGTGTTGTCCATAAAAATGAATAAAACTGATCAAATTTTTTTGTGCTAATTGACTCTGTTTCAAGAAGGGATCATTTCATTGTATGCGATACAAAAAATCGGGGCAGCCGAAGTTGATGAAATTTCATTACATATTTTTTATACATTTTGTACAAAAAAAAACTTTTTATTAAATTTGACCAACATCCGCTGTCCTGATTTTTTTCTTCCCATACAATATATAACTAAATTTTTGAGATTATACTATGATTATTATCATATGTGCATTATTTATGTGTTATTTCTACATCCCACTAAATATAAATACATGGCACTTCGTATTTATTATTGTAATAAAACTATCTCCATTTGCGTTTACTTATTCCGCGGATTGTCCGACAAGTCTAATTAATTGATGTCATTTATTTACAGACTACAGGTTATTGACTGTACAAAATAAGTACAGTTTCAATGTGTCCGGCGATACATACCGCATGAAGCATTGACCTCCATGGCATGGAATATTTTGTGTATTTACTAACATGCACTACATAACAGAAATATTTAAAATAAATTAAACTGTTTGTCCAATAGTTACCATTCGATCTCGTTTAAATAAGACACAGTTTAATAGCAGTAGAGCTTCTTATAAAAAGGGTTCGTCCAGAGAGTACCGCCACCTTACCTATTTCTGCCGCTAAGCAGTAATGTGAGCATTACAGCGTTCCGGTTTTGAAGGGTAACGGTGCTGGTGAAAGTATATTAACTTTGTGTCATTCCCTATCTTTCCGATACCAGATCTTTGTGATTTAAGGCTCTGAGTGGCACTGTAACTACTATGGACAGTCGTCTCGCTTACCACCAGGCGATTTGTTCGTCCTGTTACTTGGTATCATAATAAAAAAATCATATTAAATCCTCAACCCACACTTGGCCAGCGTGATTGGACTATGGCCTTAACCCTCTCCATAGAGGAAACCCATGCTAAGCAGAGGATTCCAATATTTCCGAAACTCACGAATGTTTTATTGCAATTGGATGAATAATATTTTAACTGCCTCCGTAGCCGAACGGTTACCGTGCCACGCAGAGGTCCCAGGTTCAATTCCCGAACCGAGAGGAATATTTGTATGGCCTACATTTATTTCTCTCCTGAGTTTGGGTGTAATTTGTGGTTGTCTATGTGTGTGTCCATCGCACCCGCGACACAGGGTTTCCCTACTGCGGGGCTATGTTGAGTGTGAAAAAAAATGTATAAGTACTACTTCTACATTTACATTACATCCTAATTTCAAAACCAGTACTATAAGTTTAGTGTCACCGTGGAAATTGATGCGATGCGATATTGATTAATTCCGTATTTTTTATTTTACCACTACACTTAAAGTGCGTGCACACTGCGTCCGATCCGTATCAGGGAGTCTATTCCCGTTCTACGTTTGACATCCGTCCGAAACAATTACTTTCAAATAAGTAATACCCGACCAAATCAAACGACAATGTTGAGTATGAAGCTTCTTCATTCACATCATACGTCTTTTAATTTAATGGAGTGTTACTTACTTGATAGTAATCGTTTCGGACTGATATCGGATGGAGAACGGAAGTTACCCCAGTTCCAAACTAACATTATTACAATCCTTTTAATCAAACAATTCAGAACTAATATTGGAATTTACCGTGAGTACAATAAATTACATAAAACATATAAACGCAGGTCATCTGAGTTGGATTTCTTTTCGTTATCATTAAATAAGTTTAAAACTTTATTACATAACTGCTCTGACTGACAATTCCGTAACTTTACAATTTAATTTCACCATATTTATATTATTTCGAATAATCATATCCATTTGTTTGTATATAACATAACACACAGTAAACGCTGCTGATACTATGTTATATGTGTATGCTGTATTTGCCTACTATTGGGTTTACACTCGAGTAATTTCTGCAGTGTTATTTTATGGGATCGAATTTTTATCAGACACCCGAAGTCGGTCCGAGTTTTTAGATTTGTATAATCTCGGACTCGGAACGGATACTTATCGCATGCAGTGCATAAACGCCTATACATTTACTTTCTTTGTGTACCATCATTAGAATATAATATTTTGTCAAAACGTACTCACTTTTCTGACACCATGTATTTTTTTGTAAGCATTTTGTACCTACTTTGTAAATTTCCGAAGACTTGAAAAAAAAAAACGTTTGGACGAAGACAAGTCTTAAAACTTGTTCTACTGCGGTACACGAATACATAATAAACCTTGGCTATGTATGTTTGTGCAGGGTGTTATAAATAAAGGTATCTTGATATATTCAGCATACGGTATACTGACTCTCGAGAAGGACACTTGCTTATAATTTGTCTATGAAATTTTCGAGATGAGTGAAAAGATTTTAACCTTTGCGTGCGTAGTTGCGTTTATTTACAGCACTAGTGCTGCACGAGGTGAGTTTACTTTTAATACTAAATTACTTTGGTCTATTTTTTTGATCGGGTTTTCTTTTTAAAACAGCAGGAAAAATATGATTACTTAGGCGAACTTGCGTACAATTTCTTAATGATCATAATGATTATTTTAGAAAAAAAATCGTATTGTTAAAAGAAAATAGTGTAAATAGGAAAGCTCTCTAGTGAATTAAGAAGAATGTATATAAATATATGTTTAATATATAATCGTCCAGGGAAGTACTGCCACCTATTTCTGCCGCCAAGCAGTAATGTCAGCATTACTGCGTTCCGGTTTTTAAGGGTAAGGGTGATGAAATTACAGGCACATGAGATCTGTCAACTCATGTCTCAGGGTGACGGGACTAGTGGCAGCGCCCCACAAATCTTTGCTATTTAAAGCTCTTGGTGGTACTGCAACTGCCATGAACAGATTTTTTTTTATCGTAACAAAGCAGAATGGAAATCTGAAAATTACAACAGTTGAACACTGATGATATCAAACCTCAAGAAATACAAAAAACTTCTCAAACTAAAGTTTACTAAATTTACATGAACTCAATATCAACATCAAACCACTAGACAAACCTATATAAGTAGGAAAAAACAAATTAATGAAAAAAATGATTATCGCAGTTTTATCAAATAAGACCTAAAATAAAAAAGTAAAATAACCGACCACTTGTATGAAAACATTGCATTAGTTTGGAAAAATGTATAGAGTTCCTAAATACTATTTACTAGTGTTCCGCCGGTGTGCGACACAGAAATAATTAGTATGCAAAAATATATTAATTGACTATACAATACAATGTACATAGTGCATCTAAAACAACTTATCCGATTGTACATTGTTTTAGTGTTAATAAGCAAAGTGAACATTCTAGAAAGGCCGAGAACAGAAAGCAGAATATGAAAACTGTAGGGCTAGCACGATAAGGCGCGACTGGAGCGAGAGCGACATAAAGTGCGAGATACTGCTATTCTCGCAAAGAAATCACGCGCTCTGTGTCGCTCTTGCGCAAGTCGCGCGCTATTGTAGTTCAAGGGTTAGTTGCCCTACAGGACGCATTATGTAGGAGAGAAGGTGTGGCCGGTACAATGTAATCAATTTGTATTCGTAATCTATTTGTATTTTAAATTACAGCACCATTCATAACAAAATGCAGCTCAAGTGATCCAAAATGCGCAAAGAACTCAGGTCAAGCGGCTATTCCACGATTCGCTGCTGGCTTTCCGGAACTAGGGATCGAAACGATGGACCCGCTTCATTATGACAAGATCGACGCTAGCACTAGCGACCTGAAACTTATATTGAGCGACATCGATATCATTGGTTTGAAAACCTGTAAACTTACGAAACTCGTGTAAGTTCCTTTTAAATTCAATTTCAAGCCATTTTTAACCGACTTCAAAAAAAGGAGGAGGTTCTCAATTCGACTGTATGTTTTTTTTTGTATGTATGTTACGCGATAACTCCGGTATTTGTGAACCGATTTTCATGATTCTTTTTTGTTGGAAAGAGGGTACCTCCATAGTCGCCCCATTTCATTTTGAAGAAAATCATCCACCTCTAAGGGTGGCTGATCACGCATGAACATTCATTTTTATAAACAGCGCCTAAATTTTACTTAAGGAGCAATTATTTTAATGGTTGGGTTTGCTATTCTCCAATTCAAGGCGTTTTTCTCGCAATATACTGAGTAGTGAGAACCGATTTTTATTATCTCCTGTGTCAAGTCCTGTATAGTGGCGAACTAGGGGATATTTCAATAAAACTTGGCAAATAGATGTAATTCCACGTACATTTGAAGTCGGTTTTTTAGTACTCTGTATTGAGATTATGTTATATAACAAAATTGTCTTCTGTTCGGTTTGTAAATTGTTTTCCAATTGCTTCGAAACTGCGACAATTAGGTGATTTCTTGTTTTCCCTTTGATATTTTTCTTTTGTGTTTGGCCATTGTAAAACAATAGCAAAAAAAACATTATTAACGTTTCTATTAAGACCTTTTCAAGGATATAATAAGCTTATCCTGAAAATGCCTATTCACTCTAGGCTTGAAAATACACACATTGGAAATAAAACCACAGGCTTAATGCGGATTTATATTTTGTCTTACGTGTCGTGTTGTGGTGCACTCTGACGTCATGGTTAGCGTTCACATTTACATATATGTCGTGTTCTGACGCTTTCTGACGATATTTCGGAACAATACCGACGCGGCTGTAGGCGAGTTCATACGTTCCCAATATCTGACATATCACAACACAACACTGTCGCGTGTACACTTATCTGATCTATCGTGACGCAGCCGCACCGCCGAGTCGCAAATCGGGATCGCTTTTGATGTAACACAACACAAGTCATCACGACACATTGCGACAGACTAATATAAATCTCACCATATTAAATGTATGACGCGTCACGACACGATACGTCAGACAAATATAACTTCGCCCTTAGCTGTCTTGAAAAGAATAAACCAAAGACATAATTATTATAGTAGACCATTAGTAGACATATAAAATCTAGTGTCCTATATTGCCTCCCTTGTGATAGGTAACTCATTTGTATTTCTGTAACTTGCAAGAATTTGACAGCTAAAGTTAAAAACAAATAATTATTACTTAAACTAAATAAGATATTAAAAAACGATAAGAGGGGGTTGTGGATCTTATTTCGGTATACCCAGTTATGTTAATAACTAAATTTCGTTAAAAATGTCAACTTAGATAGTTATGTAAAGGAGAGCAGAATAATTTTCTTGGCATTTCATATTAAATCATTTTTGTTGTTTTTCAGCCGGGACGTAGCGAGGTCGAAAATTTTAATATCAGGTTTATGTAACTTGGGTCTAGAAGGGCAGTATGAGGTGGGAGGCAATATCCTGTTCCTACCCATCCGAGGTAAAGGTGCAGCACACGTTAAACTTAGTAAGTTCACTACTAATTTTTAATACGGTTTTCTTTGCTCGTCAACGTAATGTGCATTACAATAGAATAGTATGTACGATATGGGCTACAAAATGGGCTGTAAAACTCCTTGTTAAAGAGTTCATCCAGGGAAGTACTGCCACCATACCTACTTCTGCCGCCAAGCAGTAATGTGATCATTATTATTGCGTTCCGGCTTTGAAGGGTAAGGGTGCTGATGAAATGACAGGTACATGGGACTTGTCTACTTTATGGAACCCAGATATTAGAATCTTAGAAGCTCTAAGTGGCACTGCAGCAGTTTTGGGCAGGCGTGTCCAGGCGAAAAAGTACCGAGTCCTGTTACTTTTTAGGTTCATATTATAACTGTTTTATTCTCAGTATTTTTGATAGCAGAAGGAAATTAAATATTAACCAATTTTTTAACCGGCTTCAAAAAAGGAGGAGATTCTCCAATTCAACTGTATACATTTTTATCGAGTTCTTAGGTTTTCGCGATTGTTACACATAAGAAATGCCCCTCATATCTTTGCGATTTAAAGCTCTGAGTGATACTGAAACTGTTATGGATAGGCGTGCAGCTTACCATCAGGCGCACGGCTTGTTCGTCCCGTCACTTGACGTTATAAAAAAAGACCTTCGGCTGGGGTGATAAAATTTGACGTTTGGAGTTTGGCTTGTCAAAAGAAACTCCACGAAGACACTTGAAGTCCTTAATATTTTCTCAATTTGCGATAATGACTTGGCACGATACCTACAGGACTTAAGACATACAGCTCTTATCGTATTAATGGTATACACTATATTATTGCGGCCTAAAACTTTGCCTCGCTGATCTCGTTACTGGTAGCCGCCAATAAATTCTCAAGCGTGTCGATGGGCACAGTGTGAGGTAGACCATCGTTTGCATCACACCGTACAAATAATCCGGGCTAGAACCATCCGACAATCCCCACAAAAACAAATTCCAATTGCTTCTGTCAACCTGACAGTCCCCACAAAAACAAATTCCAATTGCTTCTGTCAACCTGACAATCCCCACAAAAACAAATTCTCGTTGCTTCTGTCAACCTGTGTCCAAAGCCTATTTAAAGACCTCTAAAATTGACCATGGCATTTCATATCCATAAGGAAGACTGTACCACTGATTGCATTGAATAACAAATTTTAAGCAAGACAACCGGATTATTTTTTAAATTAATTATTTAAAAGTTTTCCTCTCAATCAATATTTTACAAAACAAGGAAATCTTCTTGTACTAACATTGATGTTTTTTTATAGAAATGGTCACTGACTTAATGCAGGCTTATGAACCGGTTTTATGTAAATAATTAACAACTTTACAACTGTAGTGCTAAAAGGAAATAAAAGAAACCCGCAAAGCACCAATAAGTGATATAACAAATACGGAATAAAATAGCGTTAATGTACTTTGTCGGTATCGATGTTACTTTCGAGATATTGCTATAGGTACAGTGATTAAGCACTAACACACTTGTATTCATCGATTACTTATAATGGGCTTGTGTCCTGTCCTTTGCTTCAGTTGTTTTTGGAAGTAAGTTAAATATTGTATTTTATAAAGTCATGATTTTCTTTTATTACCATGATATTCATCTATTTTTTTGTGTAAATACTCTAGTAGTTTGTTATTATAAAGATTAGACTAACACAAAGATAAATTCCTTCGATACGACTGGCCTTGAACTAGAGTCTGTTATTTGTGTTTATTCAATCTTTATTTCAATAAAAATAACAAAGTACAAAGGTCATAGCATGGCAGTCTAAGTATGTGTGATAAACCTCCCCGTGATAATATTTATTTCAGGTGATAAAGCTAAGTTTCCTTATTTGGTAATAAACTATTGTTATACATTTTGAAGAACAAGGACAACGATATGAAATTGCGTTTGTAGCTATCCGTGTCGCGAAAACGATGTCGGGTTTTTGTAGTTTCTGTTTTTACATATTTTACAATTAATTATTATTTATGTATTTCTAATTTCTCTCGTGTATTGTATTAAAAATGTTCTCCTCACTCACAAATGTTTTTCAAACAATATATTATATATATCAATTTCTTTGTTTCTAACATTTCTTTTCATCTCGTTTGTCGCGCTCAATTTTTACGTTGATAAAATTACTGTGCAGAATCGTCAACATGTTTTAAAATCAGCTGTGACCTTGCAGCCATTGTGTTAATCTTTGCAGTCATTGGTCGCAACGCTGGCGATGACATAAAAATGTGACGTCACGGTGGTCGCCATGTTAGCTATTGTGATTAAATTTTAAAATACTGGTTTTTCACTCGAAGTTGAGAGCTAAATGTGGATATAGTAATTTTATCGAGACGGCATACTACGGGAGCTGAGTATTTTCACAAAAAGCAGATAAATAACGTGGTGGTAAAAAAACAACATGATATTCAATAAAAATGAAATATAGCAATAATAATATCTCTATTAATCTTCTAGTAGTTGTAAAGGTACCCCCTACTACCAGGTGGCGCTACGATAAAAAGTCGTTTGAACCCTGTACCATCTATCCGTAACAACCACATAGATAAATGCGTAACATCTACTGGCTCAATCCGTAGTACAGTAGCACAGTTGGTTCGAGTCCACACGTATCGAAGAAAGTTAAGTTAAAGTTTGGAAGGAAATTAATGGTAGAAAGCGAAATTTTGTAAAGAATTCGTACATGGCAAAGTGAAATTTATGTCATACAAACTAGATAAGAACCAAAAAACAAGTCGCACATTTTCTAGAGAATTCTCGCGCACCGTCGGAAATTCCCGGAGCAAAAGTCTTGTAGCGACTGGACAACCATTACAACCATTACACAATTCTAACAAGGTTCATTATGCTATGTATAACAAAAAGCTTAATCCAAAAGGTGCTAAATATAATTGTTCATATCAACTTCTCAGGATTTCGCGATTGATACACATTGGAAATGCAACGTCGGACGTCACTGACGTCAGTCACGAGTCAATCGTGACCATGGGACTTGCCCGCCCGAAATGCTGATGGTTGGTTTGAAAAAACAAATATACGAGATTTAGATCTGTGTTTTCAATGTTTTCATTTCCAATATAGATATTATACGATATAGATATTAATATTCAATATTTTTTTGTGAAATTACTCCACTAGTTTGTTATAATTATTAATACAAAGATCAAACACTCAGAAAAAATTCCTTCGATCCGGCCGGATTCGAACCGACATCTTCTAGCACACCATGCCAGACGTTATACCAACTAAGCCACGGAACGAACCAGCGGACCTCACGAATTTTTCTATGTGCTTGCGTCGTATCTTTGTATTTGGTTTTTCAACGACTTTTTAGCCGTAGCGCCATCTATGAGAAATCTATGATATTTCGTCACCCAGTTAGATACCTTTACAGCTACCAGCCCCGGCTAGAGTTATCGCTACTCACTATATTACTATTGTAGTAGTACTATTGTTTTATTCTGTTGCTTTTTTTCGATCCAATTTTTTTCAAGTCCAATGTGCCTGTAATTTCTCCGCACCCTTATCCTTCAAAACCGGAACGCAATAATGATCACATTACTGCTTGGTGGCAGAAATAGGTAAGATAGCAGTACTTCCCTGGAGAGAACTCGTTCACAAGGAGCTCTACTGTTAGGAGTACTATATTAGTATTGTATTAATGTGAAGTTCGCACTGTTACTGAATTTCATACCATCAGGAACATGATCAACAATATTATCGAAGACCTAGCACCTAACTTTTGTTCAAAACGAAATCTTATTATCTTATAGATAAGCTCTACATAGAAGTAGACGCGGACATGGCCGACAAGGTGAAAGATGGAAAGAAGTACTGGGATGTGAAGAGCTGGACACACAAATACGAATTGCAAGAAAAGGCTGAGCTCGACCTGGAAAACTTGTTCGAAGGAAATGAGGTTTTAGGTAACTATGCTTTTGAATTTACATTATATTATTAACATTTTCTTTAGTAGTTATTAACGGAATGAAATGCACTCGGAATCCTTCTTTAACTGACTTTAAAAAAGGAGTATGTTTTCAATTCGACTGTAATTTTTGTGTGTAGGTTACGCGATTTCTTCGGCATTTGTGATGTTTTTCGATTTGAGTTTGAAGTTCGGTTTAAGTTTTTTTTAATTTAAGTTTGAAGAAAATATTCCACCTCGGAGGGTGGCAAACTAGGAGATGAATCCGGTTTCACGCACTTTTCGGTAACCGATTCCAATGAAACTTGGCAAATAAATGTAATTCCACGAAGTTTAGAAGACGTTTTTTTTAAAAAAATGGAATCTATCCGGATTCGCGCTCATTCCGGTAACCGATTTCAATAAAACTTGGCAAATAAATGTAATTCCACGAACTTTTGCGGTCGGTTGTTTTCATAAAGTTGATGTATCCGGTTTCACGTACTTTCCGGTAACCGATTTCAATAAAACTTGGCAAAAAGATGTAATTCCACGAACTTCTGACGTCGGTTTTTTTTTTATTAAAAAGTTATTGTAACCAAAATACACACGAATACGAGTAGGACGTATATTTATATATTTTCTTCAAATTTAAATGGAACCAATACTGAGGTACCCTCTTTCCAACAAAAAGAGAATCATCATACAAAATAAAAATATAATCGAATTGACAACCTCCTTTTTTGAAGTCGGTTAAAAATAAATGAATATCATCGTAGTAAAATATCATAATATATATTACAATCAAATCATAAATAAAAAGAATAATTATCAAGAACAATACGCGCACACACACACGCATACACAAAGCTCTCTTAGAATAAGTTGCCAATAGATAAATCTATTTACTTCCTGTACAATAAGCTAATTTGATTCTTAATATCTTTGATTTTTTAATATTAAACTTATTTATGTGAAAAACTTTACCATATCAAGGTCGTGCCGCCCGGGAACTACTCCGAAGCAGTCCTAATGAAGTGATCGGAGAAGTTGGCCCCCCAATCGTCAAGGCAATTCTCACCAAATTGATCAAGAACGTGGACAAATTCTTCCACAAAGTCCCCGCTGAAGAATTAGCTTTAGATTAAAGTTTATATTAACACTAAGTATAGGTACTTTAGATCATAGATAAATATTGAAATACAATTTTAGTAGTTCAGCTGTTGCTGTTTACCTAACTTCTACCGTTTTAACTTTTTTTTCTATGTATTTGTAAGTTGTTGCGTTTACGAAAGGAGCCTCTCCGTAAAACATACTATTCATATTCCACCTTACCCGCACATTTGGGGCACCCTGGGCAACAAACAGCAAGACTTTTGCCCCAATTGGCAAACCTTTTCACCATGATGGCAAAAAATCCATAGTTCTGATACGATAAGAAGAACAATTATCATCATCATCAACCCATTTATACGTCTTGTGCTGGGCACAGATCTCCTCTCAGGTAAGGTAAACCCTCGGCCATAGTCCGCCACCCTGGTCCAATGAGGGTTAGGTTGAGTTGATCTTACACGTTTGCCGAGGGTTGTGACCGGTCTTCGACATATAAGTTTGTTCACCACGTTTTCCTTCATCGAAAAGGTCATGGTAAATTTTAAATATATTAAAAATTTCGCACATAAATTCCGAAAAATTCAGAGGTGCGAGCCCGTATTTGGACTCACGGCCTCTATTTGCGAGGCGGTAGGTCAAATTATTAGGCTACAACTGTTTTTTTGAGAACATTAAATTAAAAAATGTTAGAAGCAATCCAAACCCCAAATGACGCTGAATTGTTTTTGTTAAATTAGTTTTTATTAAAGTACTGATGTCATAATTTAAAACTTTGTAAAGTGCTATAAATCATAAAAATAAATAAACAAACATAATTAAATTAACATAATTTTACAAAAAAAACCACTAAAGACTCTTTCTCTCTTTGTGGATCATGAAAGTTATAGAGCCTTTTTTTGCAAATGGGGGAATACGTTTTACCTAATGACAATTCATGTCATCTACGGTGCTTCAAAATATTCAGTGTTATTACAATTACTATGCGTAAGACAGACACATCCGTTACCCACTCGGTTTTAGGGTCTATTAAAAAGCAGTGGCACACCGAGACCCGGTTGTTGTACAAGGCGCCGCGCGAACATATCTCTTGTGTTGAATACAAGCAACCGACAACTAGAAGCGATTATTCTATTTCATACATTTGGACAGTGTCGCTGGTTGCGGCGGTCGGACAATGTCGCCGGTAGCCGAAATTTATTTGAAAATAGCATATTCGCTTCTAGTTGCGCCGGTTGCTTGTATCGCCTCCTTTTATTGCTTGTGTCGCCTTATTTTAGTGGAGCCTTTTGTATAAGCCACAGTCACACAAATGAAAGTATTTGAAATTAGCTTCAATGTGTTTTCGTTTGGTTTTCTTATAGCTTTTGTTTTCTTTTTTCTTTAATTTAAAGTGTATTTTGTGTTATGACGTTGCATTTACAACTGAATCAATCACACGAATCATAATATTTTCCGTCATAAAGATTATTTCACACTCCTAATCTCCTGACGTCTTAACTGCACCCTAAAATGTATTATCTTCTAATAAACCTGTCATCGTGCGAACACTACGTTGGTATTAGCGTCACCATGTATCCTGAGTTTGAAAGGACTGTAGTAAGAACTCTGTTACCTCGTCTGTGAAGAAATTCGTGTTGTTTACCTAAGTGTATTACAGCATTGGGAGCCGTACTGCTGCCATGACTCCTCTCTACTAATGGCATTAATATCTCAAGTACAAATAGATGAAAACACATTACAAACACAACACATTAATACACAATCAATTTCGATTTTATAATACCCCATGTCACCTATTCCACGAGCACTTTTACATTTATTACTTTTGATTTGCACTTGTGTGTGTAGTGTGAATGGCTACAGTTTGAAAACAAGAGAAAACACTTTTGTAAATGTTCAACATTAAATTTATCTCCTAAGATCTTCAGAAAATATGGTTACCCTATTCATTTCAGTAGCATAATAAGCAGTAAAAGAGCAATTATTAGAAACTTCACACGGAGGCAAAGCATAAAAATGTCATCACAGTCGTGAATATCAGTAACATATGGTTTTGTGTATTTATTTAAAGACAAAGAGGAGTTGGAGAGCATAAAGGATATAAAAAAGCTTATTGATGTTTCTTTGGATTTGTTATAATAGCAAATGACTTTTATTGTTATAAATAAAGCTTTTTTATTACTTTATGCTGTCATTATTTAATTATTATCTAAAGTTTTGGGGGTAAACTTATACCGCATCCTTACAGTTTTTGTAATTTATTGTCAATTTAAAATATTGCGGTACACTTTTTAACATTTATATATCATAATCATCAGCGTATCGCAGTCCACTGCTCGACGAGAGGTCTCTACTGAAAACCTCGTTTCCCTCATTGACTATCGGTTCTTCGACAGATATGGTCAGCCCACTGCCACTTCAGCTTGCTTATTCTACCAACTACGTCGACGACCTTGGTTCTCTGTTGGATAACTTCTTTCCGAATCTTATTCTTCAGAGAAACTCTGGACGTAGCTCGTTCCATAGTTCGCTAAACAATTTTTTGAAAAGGTGGACTAGTCGCATCGTGAGTGTCCCACGTTCGCATGTCATAACGGGTAGAACGCATTGATTGAAAATCTTTTTTTTAATTTATTTTATCTTAGAGGGTACAAACAGCTTATACTATAACATAACAGAAATTAAAATAACATTGGTTACAACAAAACTTAAATTAAAATTTAAAAAACCCGTTACAACGTGAGTGTACTCCAAAAAATTACCAATTGCCAGGAAAAATCTCGTCAAGACCAATTTAATGAGCCCTGCACACAGGCAGTTCTTTTATTAGTAGTTCAGGAGTTAGGTAGTCTGCAGACAGTCCTGGTTGGATTTCCATTGTATGCCAAATTTCAACTCAATTCCATTGCATCTATTAATAATCTGTCCTGAGATTTTTTTTATAATATCAAGTGACGGGACGAACAAGTCGGGCGCCTGATGGTCAGCTACACGCCTATACGTAACAGTCGCACTGCCACTCAGAGCTTTAAATCGCAAAGATCTGAGGGGCACTGTCTCTGCGCCCGTTACCCTGACACATAAATTGACAAGTCCCATGTGCCTTTAATTTCACCAGTACCTTACAAAACCGGAGCACAGTAATGCTGGCATTACTGCTTGGCGGCAAAAATAGGTAAGGTGGCAGTACCTCCCTGGACGAACTCTTTCACAAGGAGCTACTGCTGTTTAGATTGTATTGGATTGTCTGGAATAAATTCTTACCTAGCGGCTAAAACCGCCTATTGAACATACATTAACTTATTATTATTTTGTGTTGTCATTGTATTGTTTTGTTATGTACAATATCAACAGTATTTGTTTCATTCAAGTCGTTTCGAATGTATATATTGATAATTGTATTTTTTATTCTTTGTACCAGAAGGCAGATTGCTCTGTGAATTTTGTGTCAATATTGTTCTTTAAATTCATACGTTAATACATGACGTAGGAGAATAAATTTCAATGCACTATTATACTCTTTATTGTTACATACAAAAGCAAACGAGTAAGGTACAGCAGGCGGCTTTATTGCTAGGAAGAAATCTCTTTGATACAACTTCTGGATTACAAAATAAACTCACGAATAGTTATTACCCGAGGGTATAACAAACGCTCTCTAAACACATAATTCATGTTAAAAATACGATAAAAAGTGAAATGAACTGTAAATGCTTATATTAAATTCTTTCACCGTACTCCAGTCAAACCCACACACAATATTATTCTTCCCAATACAAAACCGAGTCTATTTGGCCACCAATTAAAAACTGCAGCAAAAACCTTCATCAACATAACGATTATTTTGACAAATGAACCATTAACTTTTGATGTTATCTATAAACTGTGCTATAATAGCCGATGGTGACGCAGCGGATTTTTTAAACTACTTTTATTAACTATTATTAAAGGAGTCATCACACTTATCAACAAGGAAACGCATTAAGCTTATGTTTTTGTAATAAGAGCGAAAAAAATATTCGGAACCGAAACGCGCAACGTTTTCAAAGCGTGCGACTTTTAAACTTTTTCGCACCAGCTCAAGCCGATTCAGCGTTAAAATGTGTGGTGACCCTAATACATACTTATTTCTGCAGTTGCAGTAATAGGCTTTAATCTAAAAAATGCTATTCACGTCGTTCCTTTTCTTCTTAAACAGTCAGTCAGGTCAGTATTCATTATAATGAAAATATCATATTCATATTTAGCGCTATATATTCTGTGACCATGGATTACCTAGAAATATACGTTTTTCATACAAACCCGACTGGACCTGAAGCATGTAATTATATTTAATACATTTTAATTTACATCGGGCGTTTAGCATTTTTCCAATTATAGATTGTTGGGTAAAGTTTTAAACACACTGTGGCACCGTCCGAGCCGGTTTAAACAGGTTTCTCTCCGGCCGCCCGGTGCTCACTCACACACGCGCCTCAAGCTTGTACTTATAGTTGTCATGGCGCGAAGCTTTGTTTCTGTTCCTTTTCTTTGCTCATATGGTACAAAAGTACAAGGAGAACTGTGACTACTTACCTACTACAGGTATCCCATCCGTTCTTTGCTTTCCAGTCAAAAATAAACAAGCACAGAAATCAGGTATAATAGTTTATGACTGGCAACACTGATACATTTTTTCTAAAATCTCTCCCGCAATATTAATTTAGCATCACAGCATTTACATTTCACTTTCCTTGATACATTCGCATTGAATTTGTATTTAAAAAAGTCGAATATTAAAATTAATTTAAACAAAGATTAACCTTAATTATTAACACAAATATCGAACACTTAGGCTCAACTCACACTGGCGCAGAGTCGAGGCGTTGTCTGGCGTCCTGTTTTTCAACTATAACCCTCGGCGACGCCCGACGACGCTTCGACTCTGCGTCAGTGTGAGTGAGCCTTAGAAATCATTCCTTCGATCTGGCTGGATTCGAATTAACGTCTACTAGGAAATTGTGCCAGACGCTATGACAACTAAGCCACGGAACGAACCGGCGGACTTTACAGATTTGTCTATGTAAGTACTTGTTGCAGGTCTTTGTTTTTTAATGACTTTTTTCCACTATCACATAACATGCTGAGAAACATGCTGTCTTTAAATAAACTTAATTAAAATTAACCTTCGTAAAAACATTCGATAGCTGCAAAAACTAAAAGATATTTAACTTAATGACTTTAAATTACCAATTTTATTTTTATCTGTACATATAAAGTTAAGATTTATTTTATGATACCAAGTGACACGTTTTGTGAGAGTCCATAGCAGTTGCAGTGCCACTCCAAGCATTATATCCCAAAGATCTGAGAGGCACTGCCACCGCGCCTGTCACCCTGAGACATAAGTTGACAAGTCCCATGCTCCTGCAATTTCACCAGCACCTTTACCCTTCAAAACCGTAACGCAATAATGCTCACATTACTCCCTGGCCGCAGAAATAGGTAAGGTAGTACTTCCCTAAGCGACTCTTTCACAAATAATGACGTGCAAATGACTATAAAATTGTTTTACCATGTTTTATAACGTTAGTGCAGCTCGGAAGTTGAAAGGCGTATAATTATACTATAATAATATTGCAATAGGACTATGATCCCAATCCTGGCTAATAAATTTATAACAAACATTGGAACTTTAATCGATCCGTCCTTCGTAAAGGATCGTAAGCTCAAATTCACAACTTTGCAAGAGAATATTTTAATGTATTGAAAGGTCTTAAACGAGCGTAACATTTTAAATT